TATAAATTTAGGAGTTGCCAGCAGAATCCTCAAAAGGAATGACTGGAGAAAGAAAGGCAAAGATGCCTCAGGACAGAATCCAAGACACCCAACATTTAGAAGTCAAGCAAGAAAAGGGATGAACAAAAAATTCCAAGGAGCCACCAGCAAGGTCAAAGGAAGGGCAGGAGGCTGAGGGAGGAGGGATTGACCAACCTGCTGCATGCCACATGAGTCACAAAAGATGCAAGCTAGGGCTTGACTGGGGCTTGACGGTTGGATTCAGCAAGTGGAGCTCATGGCAACCATGACAAGACAACCAGGGGATGGGGCGCAGGTCATTCTTGCTGGGCTGGGCAGGATGTGTTTGAGAGAGCCAGGCAGAGAGTGCACCCCACTTCTGCTCAACCCCTCTCTCCAAAGGAAAGCTAGTGAATCAGAAGGTGCATACCAGCCATTTAGCAATTGCAGCCATGTCCTGGGTGTCCCCACTCACCTCTGGGGGGTTCTGCCAAGACCTTAGTGGGCACTCCCTGTCCTTCCAGGGTGGTACCTTACCCAGGCTTACTGAGGGGACATGAGGACATTCTTGTGCTTGGGGGAGGCTTCACCCAGGTCTGAGCAGGGTTCTGGTTGCTCACCCCAGGGTGTTGGGATCCTATGAAAATCAAGTCTGCAAAGCAAGATCTGGTGACCTATGATGAAGGTGAAAACATTAGTGAGGTCCGTAAGAGCCTCCTGTGGCCTATGATGTGCTAGACAGGGTCAAAGCATGCCAGCTCCAACCAAAGGAATCCCCTCCTGGCCATCCTCCAGGTACCATTGGAGGGAGGCAGGGTCCAGGATATAGATTCCAAGGTGGGTGGGCAGGGAGAGCTTTTAGAGCTTTTGCTTCAGGGAGGCCAGGAGAGGCCCACCACAGTAGGGGACAGGGGATCCTGAGCAGACTGTGTCCCATCCTATCTGCCACAGTCACACTCAGACCAGCTCTCTGCTGCCCTCTTGCCAAATAACTCCACCTGGCAAAAGGGGAACTGAGGCCCAAAAGGGCAGCATTGGCCTGAGGTCACAGAGCCAACTCCCAAATATGTTTCTAGGGATGGGGAGGGTGCCAGTGTTCGGACTTACCTGAACCTCCCTGATTCTCCCCAAATAAGACAGGCACAACCCCAGCACACAGCACCGGCAGGTGGCTCATTCTGCCAACTCGACATACATGGTCTACCCCTATGACCTCTGTAGTCTGCTACTGCCTCCAAAAATAGGTCAGCATGCACTGCAGCAGGCATAGGGAACAATGGCCCTTTCTTCATTCCTCCAAGGAGCCAGGGTAAGCCCCATCAGGCCAAACATCTTAATGTGATAAAAACCACCCGGTGAAGGCTCAAGGAAAAGGAGCAAAAGGGAAAGACTCGCCAGAGGCCTACAAGTGGGGGAACTCATATCCTCTCCTCACTGGCCACCTGGAACAACCTACAGGGACCAGATAACACCTGTCCCATTAGATAGACGGGAATGTGGAGGCCGAAGGACCCGAATCTCTCAGGACCCAGCTCTGTTCTCAGCATCCTCCCTCCTTCCTCTCATCCTCTTCCTCCTGCCAAGCCCCTCACCCCTGAGGCTCCCTGCAGAGTCCCACCCACATGGTGCCCAGAGTGGCATGTAGTGGACTAGAATGAGATTTTTCTGCTTCCTTTAAGCATGAACTGAGGACAGGTGCTGGAGGTCAGACAGGCCCAGAGGGAGAGGCCCTTGAGGACCTCAGACACTGGCTAGCACACGAGGTGTCCTTGGAGCCACATGGGGAGAAGTGCTGAATGGCAGCCAGAGGCCACATGTCCAAAACAATAAGGGTGCTCCCTGCCCCCCAGAACCCAGCATCCAGGCCTCAGCCACTTGGCACAGGGCTAGTGATGTCCCTTTCAGACCCCAGCCCCAGAAGACAGGGTGCCAGGCATGCTTCCCCAAGGGCAATATCTGTGTGACCTCACCAGGCTGAGTTGTGTAGAGGGTGGGATCTCCACAGGGTGAGTGGCTTGGGGCCCTGGGTGTCCCCCACTCCAACATGTTCAGCTCCTTCCAAGGCCACCCAGCCCCCGCTGGCTTCCAACCTCACTGGCTTTTGGCAAATCCTGCTCCGCCAGGTCCTGAGAACTGCTGCAGGATGGAGCGAACTCAAAGGCCCTTGGAAACCCAACAGCCCACCCAGGCCCTGGATCCCTTGTGGTAGAAGCAGAAGGCAGTTCCTACCCCCCCTCCCAGGAGTGGACTGAGGACAAAGCTTACCCCTGAGGACTGGAGCACAGGACTTATTTCATCCTTATCTGGATGTATTTAGGGCTCCTGGGATGTGACCAGAAAGCCAAGTGACCATCCAGACTGAAAATCTGTGTCGGCCGGGGGTGGGCAGCACCATGAACAAGGAGTGAATGCAGATTGGCAGCCACAGTTTTGTCCTCGTCCAGCCCCGCCTGTGGCCTAGCAGGTGGAGTAGGCAGCCCTTGCTCTGATGGCGGTGTGACCTCATCCCAGGGTTCTGTCAGGTGGGGATAATTCTTGTCCTGGTCCCACCAGTGCTGGCTCTTTTGTCCACATAGCTTGTGGGTCTGGGATGCTGTCCCCCCCCCCCCGCCATCAGACCCCAGTGCAAATCCCCTGTGTGGGTACCTGATTAGTTTGCCCAGACAGTGAGAGCCATATAACCTAGTCACAGCCCTGCTCTGCTGTAACTGCTGGAGAGCTCAGGGCTGAATGGTCCTAAGGTCCCTGCTCATCATAGGCACCTGCAGATCATGGCTTGACCTCCTGGATATTTCCCATTGTGTTGGGGAGCAGAGGGGCACATCCCCTTTCCACTCCAGACACCTTGGGTCTACAAGGGCACCCCTTGGCCTCCATCCTTTGAGGACTCAGAAGGATGAGTTTTTTCCCTAGAAATAGGACAGGCCTTCCAGAACCACAGCATATTCCACATGCATGGAACCTCAGCGCCTGCCTCCCCTCCACTCCTCATCTCTGTTCCCCCAACAGAAGGCCTGAGCAGAGCCTGCTCCCTTCACCTCACAGGCAAGAAAATGAGTCCTTCATCAAGCACGGGTGCCACTTCGGGCAGTGGGCTTAGTTATCTATTAGTTTACTCAACAGATGCTTACTGAGGCCCTGTGGAGTGCTGGGCACTGAGGTGACAGCAAGCTGTTGTAGTCGCCACCTGCTGGTGAGGTGCAGGCAGTATCTGCAGTGTCCCCCAAAGAAGCTCCCCTCCCATCTCCAGGACAGCTGAGAATGAGCAGAGGGCTTCGCACCTGTATCTCACTGGGCCCTCACAACAACCCCACTTTACAGACAGAACTGGAGAGGTGAGCAGGAGCAGGCCCCGGGCCTTCTGAGCCCAGCCTGAATTTCACATTGTGCAGTCAGGAGCATCCCAAGGAGAGTGACAGTCTGTCCAGACTCCAGGCTGGCTGGAATCTCTGCCAGACTGCCATTACCTACCCTGCCCCTGCTTTCATGGCTTCTGACAACATCCAGCCCTGAAAATGCACTAATCTCTCTCACTAACCTCACTTGCCTTTGCCCAGGACTTGAGACATTTTAAAAGCACTTTAGAGTCTGTCCACAGCCTGGGTTTCAGGTGAGAGGAAGGCCTCCTGACAGGGAAGGAGAGTCAGAAGACAAAGAGATCAAGTACAGAGCAGAGCTGGGACCAAGGCAGAGGAGTCCACACCGGGCGAAATCAAGGAGGGTTCTACGGAGGAGGTGCTACTCCCAAGCTGCCCCATGAGTCTGGACTCTGGCCATAGGAGAGTGGCAGGCAGAAGGGGGGTCAAGCTCTCACTTTAGGAGGCCAGCTCTGCACAGCAGATTTCAGGGAGAGCAGACAACTGGAGGCTGACAAGACTGGGGCCTGAGCCTGGGCGACATGGTGAAGCACAGGAATGGCTGCCCTCTGCCATTGTTCAGGTGACTGGGCCACCTCACCTTGCTGGCTCCACCTCATCCAGAGGAGGAGGTAGGAGATCAGAGAAACTCACAACCCATTTCTGGCTGCCCCGACAAGCTGCCATTTCCCATGCCAGGGAGTGATGGTGGGGCTGATGATGAACCCAGAATGGGCCGTGCCAGGTTTGAGAAGCACAGTGCCAACCATACACTTCTAGGCCTGCCGCCCTCTCTTCTCCCAGAAAGTGCCCAGGCTTCCTTCCTCACGGCAGCATCCGGGGCCCACAGAGAAGGCTGGGCTGCTGCAGAGGACCCCAGGCCTGATGCCTCCCATCTCTCCCCTGCAGGGAACATCATTGGCTCGGGCATCTTCATCTCGCCCAAGGGTGTCCTGGAGCACTCAGGCTCCGTGGGTCTGGCCCTCTTCGTCTGGGTCCTGGGTGGGGGCGTGACAGCTCTGGGCTCCCTCTGCTATGCAGAGCTGGGAGTTGCCATCCCCAAGTCCGGCGGGGACTACGCCTACGTCACAGAGATCTTCGGGGGCCTGGCTGGGTGAGTGTGGGGCTCCGGTGGGGCAGGGGACAGTTTCTCTGCAACAGGATGGCTATTGAGCAGTGGGCCTCAGTTTCCTCTTCTGCTTCCCACATCACAAGGAGGTCATGAGAGTGAATGGAAAGAAGGGAGCAGGGTGCCCAGCAAGGCCATGGTGGGTGGCACCAATGCCTGTCCCCCTCTACTGGTATCTGCTGACCCCTCAACCTCTCCATATCCTCTTTAAAACAGAGCTCTTTTTAAGCCCCCTGACCACCTGGGTGCTTATGAAGGAGGGAGGCTTTTACTATCTGAAGCCATTAGAGGAGCTAGCACCTAGGTAAGGAGACTCTTGATGTAGCAAACCTTCTTTATTTTTTTAATTTTTTATTAGTACATATTTGCCATACATAATGATACATTCATCATAGGGAATTTGTACCTGTACTTAATGTGTCTTCTTTTTGTTTTCCCATTTCCCTTCCCTCCCTTCAACCCCTCTTCCCCTCCCAATTTACAAAAGCTTTGTTTCCGTTTTTTCCCTTCCAATCTCTTTTTTTCCTAATCCCTCATCCCTTCCTTCCCTTCCCCCTCCCCCCTTGTTCCCCTTCCCATATGAACATGGCCTTCTTAATTCACCTGTGAATGTTTGCTGGGCACCCACTCCCGGCTAAAGGCTAGGGATGCTATGATAACAAGATCTGTCCCTGTCCACAAGTTGCTCATAGAGCAGAGAGGAGCAGCTCCCCAAACATGATGTGACCTAGCAGACCCTTGCTTTGAGGACGTGTACAAGAGGCAGCAGCCACACAGCAGAGAACCTGGTGTCCACTGCCTAAGGAAGGCCCCCAGAAAAACTGTGTTTGCACCAAGCCTTGCAAAAAGGATAAGATTTTCCTCCCAGGTTGACAGGAGCATAGACAGAGGGTGTGATGGCTGGGGCCAGCACAATCTGCCTGCAGCTACAGGTAGGGTCAGGTTCCCTGCAGGCAGTAGGGCTTGGAGGAGACAGGAGATTTGACATTCTTATATTCCGTCAAGGGCCTCAAAGGTCCAGACAGATTCCAGAATCACTCAGGAGCCTCGTTCAAAACATGGTAGGAAGCATGTCATGAGGGTTAGGTGGGTGCAGTGGGGGTGACACCTGCTGGCCCATTTCAGAGGCACCATAGAATGTGTACCTGCAGTGGGGAGGGACAGACCTCAGGTAGGGATTCTCATGTTTGTGGTGTCTGCAGCATGTCTGGAGAGGTGCTTGGTGAGGGGTTGGATGGAAGGTCTGAAGTTCAGAGGAAAGGCCCAGGCCAACGTGCACGGAGTTGGTTGTGAGGGACTTGGGCCAAGCACCCTGAACAGGGCAGCCCCGTGTGTGGTCCATGGCTGCTCTTCTCTGAGGAGAGGCTGGTTCTCAAGGAGGCAGAGAAATCATGCTGTGGACCTGGAGAGGCCGCTTGGGGAGAAGGTGAGAGAGAGAGAGGAGACCAAGCCCCTAACCCATGCACACCCACAAGGGAGGAAGATTATTGGCCCAGAATGTCCCACAAGCCAAGGGGCTTGGGGAGGAGGTACAAATAAGGGGCAAGGGATTTGGCTGCCACGAAGATTGAGGATCAACAGGAGCCCACTGAAGTCAGTCAGCCAGAAGCTGCTGGTGTCCCTATAGCAAGTCTCATCCTCGAGGGAGGGCCAGGAGCTAGAACCACCCTGAGGATAGACCCTCCCTGAGGATAGTCCCTCCCTGGGAACAGCACGGAGCCCGAAACCCCCGTGGGTTCTCTGCATAGTTGAAATTCTGGTACTGAGGGCATAAATCATGACCCTCCCATAGCCAGGGCCCTTTGCAGGGTCCACTCTGCAGGCCAAAGGACTCCATGCCTTTGGAGCAGCCACTGCTCGGAATCAGCCATCTTGAACTGAAACCATGACTATAGGTCCAGGACAGCCCACCTCGGCTCTGGATACATCCCATGGTCAAGGGGTGTAGGGGGTCATGAGGGAAGGTGTTTTGGTCCCCACACCCTTCCTAATACCTGCCCAAGGTCATCCCTGCCTCCTTAGCCTTGAGTGCCAGACAGTCCCAGCACAGCTCAGCTCTGCATACCTAGGCCAGGTCACTGGGAGGGCTGGGAATGCCTGTGCCACTCTGACCCTTGCTCCTTCCAGATTTCTACTGCTCTGGAGTGCTGTGCTCATCATGTACCCCACCAGCCTGGCCGTCATCTCCATGACCTTCTCCAACTATGTGCTGCAGCCTGTGTTTCCCAACTGCATCCCCCCAGCCACAGCCTCCCGTGCGCTCTCCATGGCCTGCCTGAGTGAGTCCCCGGGAGGCCCCTGGCTAGACCTCTGTCCCCAGAGCAGCCAACTGCCCCACCCCACCCTGCTCTCAGCCCTGGGTGCAGGGACAGTTGGGTGGGACCCCCCAGCTGCCCACCACCTACATGGGACATGAGCCCCAGAACCTGGGGTTCCCAAATCAGGCTGCTACAGGAGATGTCCTTCTCTTGCCACCTGGGCTGGACTTGACTGTGATTCACTGTGAGGGTCTCAACCTCAGGTGGCCTTCCCTCCCTAGTGCTCTTGACATGGGTCAACAGCTCCAGTGTGCGGTGGGCCACACGCATCCAGGACATCTTCACAGGCGGGAAGCTGCTGGCCCTGTCAATCATCATCGGTGTCGGCTTTGTTCAGATCTTCCAAGGTAGGGCCAGGGCGGGAGTGTGGGCAGGCCAGGGCTGGCAAGACTGTACTGACCCCTGATGTCTGGACCTCCAGGACACTTTGAGGAGCTGAGACCCAGCAATGCCTTTGCCTTCTGGATGACACCTTCTGTGGGTCACCTGGCCCTGGCCTTCCTCCAGGGCTCCTTTGCCTTCAGTGGCTGGAACTTCCTCAACTATGTCACTGAGGAGCTGGTGGACCCTCGAAAGTGAGTGGGGCACCTGGCCAAGCACTGGGAAGGCTCGGGCCCATTGGTGGGGGAAGCAGCCAGTCTGCACAGACAAGAGTCACCTGTGACTCCAACTGACCCTCAGCAGGCCTCCCTTGCTGCCTGTGGGAACGGCTTTGGAGAGGAAGATGAATGCTGGTATGCAAGCCTGGCCTTGGTCTGGGTGGCCATAAAGGCATCAGGGCCCCTTTCTGGACCCCAGAAAGCCTGAGTATCATTGTCCTTCTGTAAACAGATCCAGTGATTTGCATTTGGCCCAAACTTACACATATGCATGCAACATGGTCCCTACAGCTGAAGCCAGTGACTCCATCTGATGCTCAGCCAGGGGTCTGGACAGGAAACTATTGCAGCCAAGTGAGCTGAATGGATGGGGAGTCCCAGGGGAGACCCTAGACCTGCAGATCTCTTAGGGGATTTTCCAGGCTGATTTTGGCTTTACACAGTTTTCTCTTCATGTAGACATTAATTAGATCTTCCTCTCAGGATAGAGTGTCCCCTCCTCTCTCATCTGCCCTTCCTTCTGCCAGCCTGTGTTCAGGCAGGAGTGGGGGAAAGGTAGGCAGCAGTGTCACCATGTCCTGAGCAGCAATGGTGCCCCCTTTTCTGCCCCAGCACCCCAAGAGAGAGCCCAGCACAGGAGATACTCAAAATTGCTCCTGTCGCTGGGTCCCCTAGCCCCTCCCCAAATCCTATCCCTCCCACCTGGGGCCCACATTGACATGCTCTGACTGTCCCCAGGAACCTACCTCGTGCCATCTTCATCTCTATCCCTCTGGTGACCTTTGTGTACACGTTCACCAATGTTGCCTACTTCACAGCCATGTCCCCACAGGAGCTGCTGGCCTCCAACGCAGTGGCTGTGGTGAGTGGGAGGCCCCTGCCCAGTCCCCAGCCCCTGCCCTGGCTCCCACCTCGGCCTCACTCTCTTCTGTGCTCACTCAGACCTTCGGGGAGAAGCTGCTGGGCTACTTTTCATGGGTCATGCCTGTCTCCGTGGCACTTTCCACTTTTGGAGGGATCAATGGCTACCTGTTCACCTCTTCCAGGTGACTGGATGGGTAAGGGTGGTGTGATGCAGCCAGGCAGGTGCCCTGGTGTGCCCAAGCTGTGCTTCAGACCACAGAAAGGGGAAAATGGGTTGATGAACCTCCCGGTAACAAAGGTCTGATCCCAACCCTCTGGTAAAGAAAGCAAGAGGGAAGCAGGCTAGATGAAGGAAAGAACTGTCCAATAGGACTGCTAGGCCTGGAGCAGGTCAGTGGTGACCGCTTGAGAGGGATGTCAGATCCAGAGCTGGGATCCAGGATCTAGCTGGCAAGGAGGCTCTGGCTTCTACTGGTACCTATCTCTGTCCCTACCCCCAGGCTGTGCTTCTCTGGAGCCCGAGAGGGGCACCTTCCCAGCCTGCTGGCCATGATCCATGTCAGACACTGCACCCCTATCCCTGCCCTCCTCGTCTGTGTAAGTTGGGGGGGCCAAGCCAAGCAGGACATGGATCCAGGGTCACTCAGTAATGTGGGACATTCTGGGTAATGGCAGGAATGAGTCCCTGGCTAGGGCGGGAGGCCCACAGAGGGTGGGGAAGCAGCTGGGACCTGCCTGACCTCCTGGTGTGAGGCCAGCTGTCAGCCCCAGGTCCTCTCCCAGTGTGGGGCCACAGCGGTCATCATGCTTGTGGGAGACACATACACACTCATCAACTACGTGTCCTTCATCAACTACCTCTGCTACGGCGTCACCATCCTGGGCCTGCTGGTGCTGCGCTGGAGGCGGCCGGCACTCCACAGATCCATCAAGGTGAGGCCCCAGGCAAGACAGGTTGGCTCATGTGTCACTGCTTCATCTATTCCAGGCACCAGGGACAGGGGCAGGTGGCAACAGTGACAGTGATTGCAGCTTTTGCCAAGTAGTGGGCTTTATAGACACTGACATATTCACTCCCCCCAACAACCTCAGCAGGACAGTCCCTTTACTATTCCCAGTCTAGAGATAGGGAAAATGAGGCCAAGGCATTTGCTCAAGGTCACACAGGCTGCCAGTGACAGAGCCAGCATTCCAGATCACACAGGAAATCAGAAACCCATAAACCAAGCCCAGCCTGGACTTAATGATTTAGCAAGACCCTGTCTCTAAGTAAAAAATAAAAAAGGGCTGGCTTGTAGTTCAATGCAAAGGCATTGGGTTCAACCCCCAGTACCAGAAAGAAAAGAATAAAAATAAAAACTTCTATTTGTGTATAAATCCTTAAGTGGAGAAGTGCTCAGTGCCTGAAATGTGAAACACAAAAAAAAATACTTGGCCTCCAGTCAAGCACAAGCGAGTCTGCATACAACTGCCTTGTACAGCTCAGAGCTGCTGAAACTCTCACAAAGCCTTAACAGTTTGACCAACAGGTCAACCCATGAATTAACTTCCAGCACACCCAGCTGCTGCCAAAATGGGGGACCTGGCAGCCCCCAGCTCCTGGAAAAGGGAGGAAGCTCCTCAGACCTTTGAGGGTGGGGCAGGGTAGGAGAGCTGGGGATCTTGCACCATTGCTCTCCCATCCATCCTCCCCCAGGTGAACCTTCTCATCCCTGTGGCATACTTGGTGTTTTGGGCATTCCTGCTGGTCTTCAGCTTCATCTCGGAGCCCATGGTCTGTGGGGTCGGCATCATCATCATCCTGACAGGGGTCCCCATTTTCTTCCTGGGAGTGTTCTGGAGAAGCAAACCAAAGTGTGTGCACAGACTCACAGGTGAGCCGTGCGGCCTTGCTGAGGTCCCCGGGGGTTGGAGTCATGCCCCAGAGCAGGGTCTTGCAGTACCAGCAGGGTGGATAATACAGAGCCCAGCTATTTCCACACATCTCAGGATGTGGCCACAGCCCACCTGCAGAGGGAGCAGCTCCCTGAAGGCCCCTGCCCAGGAGTGGTATCTGAAAGTGGGTGTCTGTCCCCAGGGATCAGGCCTCAAGATCCATCTGTCTGTCTGTCCTCAGAGTCCATGACACGCTGGGGCCAGAAGCTGTGTTTCGTGGTTTATCCTCAGGGCTCCCCTGAGGAGGAAGAAAATGGCCCCTGCCAGCCCTCCCCACTGCCCGACATGGACAAGCCCTTGAAGTCACAATGAGACATTTGTAGACATCGAAGCAGCTGTTTTGTTTACATGTTGTTTATTGAGGAGGTGTTTTGCAAAAACTTTTTTCTGGAAAAAAGAGATAGGACTCTTAGAGGCCTGTCATAAGGAAGCCCTGGTGATGTGAACACGGCTTCCTATCTTAGCGCTGCCCTGCTAGCTTTTCCTGAAAAGGCCTATGAATAAACAGGGCTGGTTGTTTGTTTGTGCTCAGGGGAGTCCCTGGTGGACCCAGATGGGGGAGGTGGTGGCATACCTTGGTGGGGGGTACACGCATTGCTAGTTCAGAAGGTGCCATAGCCAAGGAGGCCCTCAGCATTGTGGGACTTTGCTTCTTGAACCAGGGCTGGCTCCATGGGGCCCCAAGCCACCCTGCCCTAAAGGGACAGTGGAGATGGGAAGTAGCTCCGCACCCAGATCTGTCCCTGCCAACCTAGGCTCAGCCAACTGGGAAAGTTCAGGGATTCCTGGCTAGGATTATCATTCTTCCGTGAAATAACCACAGACTGAATGTCACAGCGTCAAAGTTCACAGCCTCTCCTTGGTCTGCAGTGTGGAAACTGAGATCCTAAGGCAGGATGGCATGGGTTTGACCATTGATGGTTGAAGCCTTGGCCTGTCTCCTGAGAAAGCACAGAACTGCATGTCCTGGGGTCCTCTAACCCACACCCTCATTTCCAGCCATAGTGCCCGGAAGACTGACCCTGCAGCCAGAGGGCAAAGGGCACCAGGCCCATGCTGCCACCATAGGCATGAGGATGGGGTAAAAGCCTCCTAGCCCAGCTCCTGGGGTGGGGGGCTGCTGGGAAGGCCAGGAGGAGGGATCAGTGTGGATATAGCACGCACCATGGCCAAGGCCCTACACTCCCCATGGCCCCTTTCATTGCTTACTACAGCTCCTGGCACAGATAGGGGAGGGGGAGGCAGCTGGTGCCGCCATGGTGTGAATGAAGCAAGAAGCCACACACAACACTCCATGGAGCCCTGTCTGTCCCCCACTCACTTTTCTGGAAGTGGATTCCCAGGTTGGAGCTGGGGAGGGGGTAGGAGTAAGACCCCAAGATGCCTGTGTACACTGGGACCCAAAGACGTGCTCATCACATCACCGTCTTCCTCTAGACAGCCCCGCCCCACGTTCCCTGCCTGCCATGTGCACCAAGGGGTACAGTGTGCTGCTGCTGCTGCTGCTGCTGCTGCTGGCTGAGGGCCCTGCTCCTCCCCTGGGGCCGTGGGCTGGCCTCTCTCTGTAAGAAAGGACACAGAGGCAGGGTAGAAACGACTGTGTATTCCCTGGTTACAAAGCGGGGCTGTGGCGGTCACCAATGTGTCCTGTGGGTCAGCAGACCAGCAGGGCCTCATCGTCGCTGGCTTCCAACATTGGGGAGCAGGGTGGCAGGGGGCTCCGGCAGCCCCCCAGTGGCTCTGCTGAGTGGGGGCCTTGGGTGCTGCTGGCAGTGGGAACCTGGGGCTGAGGATCCTGGGCTGAGCGAGGCTCAGGAGCTGTGTCCACAGTGGCCAAGTTGTCCACCAGAGGGTCCCTGCAGGCTTTTCTGTCCCTGTCCATGGGCCTGTATTCTGGGTCTTGGAGGCCTGAGGGCAAGGGCACTGAAGGTCCCAACTCTAGTGTATGGCCAGGGGCACTGGGAGGCCCATCCCCAGGTGCTCTGGGGCTGCCTGCGTCCGTGGGGGGGGCTGAGGGGCCTGGGGTGGCCCCTGGTCCAGGCTGGAGGAGCCCATCGCCCAGCACTGTCTGTGAGGTTCGAGCAGCAGTCAGAAGCGGGATCTGGCCTCGAGGTGCCCGTGGCCGGTGAAATAGCCGGTTCCAGAGACGGCCGAGCCTTCGACGGGAGGGGCCCCGGCGGGAGGCATGTCGCCTCATCTGCCTTCGCATGGCTGTGCGAAGGTTCTGTAGCACAGACACCTGGAGGATGGGGCCACAGCTAAGGAGGTGCCCAGGCCACTGAGGGGCAAGAGGTCAGCAAACCCTCAAGAGAGCTGAGACCCCATGAGACCAACTGTGCCTCTCCACCTGGCTGTGGCCCGCCAGGTCACCCTGCCCGGGCCTCACCTCCCCTTCCCGTGACCCCTAAGCCAGCCTAGCCTGCATACAGTCCCACCTGGCCCCTCTGCCTCCTGCTCTTGGGTGCTGTCTGGGGTCCCGAGGGAAGCCTGGGCCCTGGGAGGCATCAAACCCCCTTGGGCTCACCTGGGATGCGCTGTACACAGGGAAGTCCTCCACAGGTGGGATGAGGCCCTGTGCGATGAGCTGGCCGTAGGACGGGGGCGCCTCCCGCCGCACAAACTCGGCCTCCAGGCGTGTCATCTGGGTCTCAAAGGCCCTGAAAGCAGTGGGCAGAAGGGAAGTTGGTGGGGTTAGTGGGACTTGCCACAGCAACAGGACTTGGAGACTCAGCCTCTACCAGACATCGAGAGACACCTAGACCTGGCATCCGCAAGAGCTGTCCCCAAGTGGAGGGCCCAAGCCTCCACCTGCAAACCCACAGCTGAGCACACAGTGAGCCCTGGACCTCTCTCAAGGAAATGCTGGGCCCGAGGGTTCCAGCCTCAATGTAGTGCCCACCTGTACTCCTGCGTGCGCAGGGAGTAGAGCTTGAAGGCACAGCCCAGCGCGATGACCAGCAGCAGGCCACACACCAGGCTGCCAATGAGTGCAGCAGTGATGACCTTGCGCGGCACAGCAGCCAGGCAGCCGTGCTCATCGCTGCCATCCTGGCAGTCCTCCTGGCCGTCACAGCGCCACGTCTCAAAGATGCACAGGTTGGTGCCACAGTGGAAGGTTCCAGGCTGGCAGGAGAAGCAGTTCTTCTCATCAGCGCCATCTGGGCAGCTTTTCTGGTTGTTGCAGCGGTCGGCAGGTGCATAGCACAGGCCACTGCCTCCCTCACAGGGGTACTGGTCAGGTGGACAGGCAGGGCAGCCCTGCTCATCCCGGCCACTGGCACAGTGCCACCAACCATCGCAACGCTGTGGCTCTGAGAAGCAGCCTTGGTCCCCTGAGCTGCCACTGTCCCCTTCACTGCTGCTCCCGCATGGCTGCTCCCATGGGAGGCAGTAGCCCTTCACCTGGTAGGTGGCGTTGAAGCCATGGCCAGCGCTGCGGGCACGGGCATGGTAGGCCACAGTGAGGCGGCCCTGTGCAGCCTCGAGGCTCACTGGCCGGTGGTTGCTGTGGTAGGACAGAGTCTGCAGCAGGCGGTCCCCACGCTCGCCCAGGCCCTCATACACCTGAACATAGTCATCGTAACCCAGCCGTAGCTCCAGCTGCAGCAGCACGCGCCGAGGGTCCTGCGTGTCCACCAGCCATGTGCAGTGAAGGTCCGAGGGCCCACGGGCTGCGCCAAACAGGTCTGGAGAAGCGAAAGAGCCATAGAAGCTGCCCAGCCGCCGGCCACATGCCAGGTCAGGACAGCCAGCCTCATCAGAGCCATCACCACAGTCCTGGGTGCCATCACAACGCCGCTCCACTGGCAGACAGCGCGTGGAGCGTGCCCCACTGCAGGGGAAGGTGCCCCCTGGGCACAGGCTGCCAGGAGGTTCAGAGGCAGGTGCTGAGCAGTTGCCTTCATCAGAGCCATCGCCACACTCATCCACAGTGTTACACTGCCATGGGCCCGGCAGGCACTTGCCGTTGTCACACCGGAACTCGTCTGCCTGGCAGGACACTTGGCCCAGCTTCCCTGTGGACAAATGGGTAGTAGGAGGCAGTCAGAGGAGAGAAGATTCCCCCCTCCAGCACCAAGATCTGGGGCCAGGAGTGGGCAGGTCAGCATCTCAGCTGGGCCTCTGCAGAGCCCAAAAGAGGAAGGACCATCTGACAACAGGGAGAGACTCCTGGGATCCCAGGGTGGGCTCAATCCCTGACCTGACCATAGGGTGAGGGCTTGTGAATTCCCCTTCTACAACAGCCAACCTGTGAAGGGGATCGGTGATGTGCAGAGGCAGCAGCTTGACAGCCCCACCCCCATCTTAAGATTGACTGGGTTGGTCAGGGGAGACCCTGAGGGAGCAGTGGACTGTGAACAATGCTGCCTTGGCTGGGAGCCCATGTACTGAATGCTCCATGGTGTCTCTGCCCTGCCCTGTGACCAGTATCACCTCGGATGTAGGAGAGGCGGAAGCCCTGGGCCTGGCCAGAGCTGGAGGCATCTGAGTGGAAGAAGATCCAGACGTGGTCACGGGCAGAAATGAAGGCAGGAGGGATGGCAGAGCCACAGAGGCGGAAGGCCTCCTGGCGAGGTGGGGCTGCAGGGCCCAGCAGGAGCCAGTCCAGGGAGCACTGGTGGGACTCCTCCACATCAAAGTTGCGGAAACTGCAGAGGCAGAGAGGACCATGGAAAGGGGTGAGTGAGCTGCCCAGGACAGGCAGAGGATGGTCAAGCCAGAGCTCTAGGCAAGGATGGCCAGCCACACCTTCACCTATCACCCTGTTCCATGTCTCCCATGATGCCTGATTCCTCCATTCCCAGGGAGTCCAAGGGCAGTGCCACAAAGAATCAGGACATCCGGGACATCCATGGACAGTTACCATCACACTTAGCTCTGCTGTAGTTCTCCCCCTTCATCAGCACACATACAGCACCCACAACCCAGAGCCAGAGTGGGGAATACCAGAAGCCTCCCTGATACATTTCCCCAAGTACCCAGATCCCTCCCATACTGGGTCAGCTGGGACAGACTCAGCACAAGCTCCCAAGCATGGACACTGAAGGTAAGGCTGTGCCCACAGAGCTGGCCAATACTGCAGCTGGGGGACAGTCACTACAAACACTAGCCCCGGTCCCTGTCCCAGAGCCATGGCCTTCTGGTCCTGGGGAAACTGAGACACAGAAACCAGGACAGCCCCTGCTCAAAACTGTCAATCCATATTCTTTGGTTTTTCATCAGTTTTGCAGTGCTGGGATGGAGCCCTGGGCCTCACATGTACTAGCCAAGCGCTCTAGCACTGAGCTGCACCCAAAAACCACTTCCATATCCTCTGGGGCTATGGAGTAACTGGGCCTAGCAGGCTTCTGGATGTGGGCATCTAGGAGAACTACAGCAGATGGAACCCTAGCCAAATGTTCCCATGACCACCCCAGACAGGGCTTCCAGCCTGCCCACCCAGGCTGCCTCATGCCATTTCCCTCTGCACAGCACTACAGCTAGAGGCTCCATGCTGACTCCTGTCCCTACTGAGACCACCTGAGGCCCCTTGGGGAAACTCTGATATGGGCTCAGTGTCAGCCCGGCCTTAAGCCTCCCTCGCAGGACAGAGGATATTTCCGACACAGCCAGACTATGCCTGCTAGTTCCTAGGGCTCCCTTCCTTACACCCCACAAAGGAGGCTCAGGACAGGAAGAGGTCCAGCTCAGGACCCCCAGCCATGGAGAGCTGGGGAGCTGGGTAGACTCATGTATACACGTTTATAGCTCCCACATGGTTCCACACGTCCTCAGACATCTGCTCTCACCTGTGCCCTATGCACCTACACAGATGTGTGCTCACACATGTGCTCTTTATGGCTGTTCAGGCATAGGACTGTGCAAGTCCACAAGCATACATGTGCTCACACATGCATGCACACTCACAAACCTGTGCATACCCATATGTATGCCCTCCACAACCATCAGACACACATCCATATACACGCTCACTCACCTAGCACATGTAATGCTCTCAGAGACCCGTTTACCTGATGGTGATCATGTCCCCACGGTCCCCCTGGATGTACCAGCTGCAGTTGGTGCCTGGTGGGTAGTTGAGGGGCCAGGCTGGGCTATAGATAACACCACGCCGTTCTGTGTGCTGCTCCAGCTTCCCACTGCAGGCAGCTGTTAAGAGAGGAGGCTGAGAAATGCATGCCCCACCTTCAGGTGGGAAGCAGGTTGAGGGTGGTACTGCTTGACCCCGTCCCCATGGCTTAAGCACAGGCCTTCCCCATAGTGAGATCAAGTCCAGCCAAAGGTAGCCATGACCAGGGGCAAGAGATTTCATGGTAGTGTATGTGGGGAGGTCAGGGAAGTCACTTGAACTCAGGGCAGTGTAGCCCCCATTTCATGCAATGTGCCTCCCATCTCTGGCAGAGCTAAGAGTGAGCCACCAGCAACTCCAAGATGCAACACCATGGCCCCGGGGCCTTCTGCACCTTAGGCCCACCAGGACTGCCTAGGCCATCTCACTACTATTCCTGCCTGCCCTTCCTAGGGCTTGTCAAATTCAGATCTCAGCCCCAGAAGGACAGGGGCTTTGTGACCTGATATTTATTTACTGAGCACCTACTATGCACCAAGCAAAAGTAATAGGCATGCTGAGTAAGCCAGGCAAAAGCCCTGCCTGTGGCACCCATGGGAGCAGATAGCCTTTAGGCAGAACCCCTGATGGAGTGAAGATTATGAAACAGGCCTTAAGGGAGGTAGCAATGTCCAGAAGTGGCTGGAAATGCAGGCTAGGTCTGAAACCCCTCATGTGGAATTGGGGTTTTATCCTGAATGTACATAGGAAGCCACTGGAGATGGTTGTTGGAACCGGATAAAGAAACTGAGGCTCAGAGAAGCTAAGTGACTTGCCCAGGACCACAGAGCCAGTCGGGAGCAGAATCAGGATTCACCCTGGTCTTCTGGTGGGCTCAGTCTCTCACTGCTGGCCCTTCACCAACAAGCATTTGTGGAGTGTCTACTGTATGATGTGGGCAGCGAGCACAGAGCATTCCATCAGCCAGAGCAGGTGAGGAGCCCCACCAAACCACTGGCTTCCAACCAATCCATTATCCATACCCTGTGCTTCCCACCCAGCCTGAAGGGGCCGCTCTGGTGTCCCCTGAACCAAGCAGTGGCCCTTGTATTTTTCTGCACTGCTCCCACAGCTCCCTCAAGCCTACACCCTGAAGGCGGGGTCCATTTTACAGATGGAGAAACTGAGGCCCAGCAAGGCAAGTGATGATCCCTTTCCCCAGGCCCAGTGACATCACCTCCTCCCCTTCCACAGCTGCCACTTTGCTCTGAGGACCCAGAAGCTGCATTTCTTTGGCTCTCAGAAAAACTCTCTGGGACCCCAAATAGGGCAGGGGAAGAAGGGAGAAAAGCCCTCTGGCAGCCATCTGTGCTTTTAGGACAAACACACAAACTGCCCACCCACCCCAGCCACCCATCTCACCCCTCCCATAACTCCCTCGCCTCCCAAGTCCCCATAGTCTCTTGCATGGGAGGGAGACTTTGCTGTTGCAGAGCCCTGGTGGGTGCTCCCCTGCCCTCCTATGCCACTCTGACTCCTGCTTAGCCTCAGCCCTCAGACTCCCAGTGGAGTTTCCATCCCAACCCCTTCCTGTCCTTCTCAGTCTCTGCAGTGCCTGGCATTGTTTGATGACAGGCTCCCACAGAGGGGCAGTGCCGTAATGCTCTGGTCCAACACTCTGTCCCCAGAAACTTGCACAGTGCCTGACCCATGGCTGGTGAGGGTTGGGACCAGCCCTGGGTCACCTGTGTCCTCAGTCCAAAGGACAGGACTATGCCTGCCCGACTATACCTTCCCTAGAGGATGAACACAGCCCTGCACATCTTGTCTGGGCTGTGGCAGAGGTCAGATGTCTGACCTACGCTGGTCACAGGCCATCCCTCAGGCCACCTTGCTCTTCCAACCTACCTGCTCAGCCAGAAGACTTCTCCCTCCTGCCCCTATGTCTGGCCCCTGTTCAGAGGGTGGGAGACCTGACACTCCAGATGCCTGCACCACTGCCAGCCCAGCTCTGTCTCTCCACAAACTACTGAGGTCCCCCAACGCTGCCCCTGAAATTCCCCCATCAGGTGCCTCAAAGGGACTGGGCCTTAGTTGAGTGTTTGCTCTTCTCCAAAGGGGGCCAGGAGACCAGGCTTTGCAGAAACTGAGCTCTGCAGCTGCTGGCACAGCCTCACACAGAGGGAAGGTGGAGCAGAAGGCAGGCTGGGGGCTGTTCCAGGGGCTGGAAGCTGCACCCTGGGCTCTTGACTGACGCCACTTGAACATGGGCCTGGAGCATGGCCCCAGTTCAGCCAGTCAGCCCCCCAGCTCTCTGTGACAGGATGGCACTGGCCTACACAGGGATAAGGCTCATGAATGTAACCAATCCTAGGGCCACACTGCCAGGCACCCCATTGTCCATGGGCCTCAGCTTGTCCACCCAAAAAATGAAGTCAGTATGCATATTGCTTTTGTCCGAGGGATGGCTGGTTGAGAGATCTGAAGAAAGCTGTGATCTCAAGGTGATGGGGAAGTGGGGGAGCAGGGGACTCTCCAACAACACCCATAGGAAAGGAGGGGTGTGATAGGATATGAAAGGAAGGGTGAGCGGAGGAGAGATGGGAGAACTGTGCATTTGAGGGGTACTGATGCAGGACAGCAATTTGCAGGGAGACTGTGTTTGGAGTGCGAGTGATTTGTGGGGTTTAGGGGCAATCAGAGAGGTCTCTCAGCTTCGGCTGGAGGGGACCTGGTTTCATATTGGCAGAAGTTTGCCTTGGTCCTCCGTGGCCTACTCAAGTGAAAAAGAGATGACTGGGCACTTTATGGGCAGTGTCCTCCTTTCCTTGTCCAAAAGTCGTCAAATACTCCTGAGAAAACAAGAACAAGGCCTGAGGAAGCACAATTTGCAGATCCAGTTTCCAGAGGCGATCGATTATCTGGACAACCTGCCTGGTGTAACCCGAGGATGGGGAGCCAGGAGTTCCACCCAGCCCTTGGGGAAGCTGCCGGCCGAGTGGAGAGGACAGCACAAGCTCTCGCCAGCTCACACCCTGGGGCCTCCCTGAAGCCGAGGGAGGTGGTGCCTGACAGGCTGGAACAGGGCAGGAGCTGAGGCAAAAACCTGTGAGGTCTCCAGGTGGCCCAGTGACAAGGGGCTGAGAGAACAGTTCCTGATCCAGGCTGTTTCACAGCAGGAATCTCAGACAAAGCCCTGGAAAGGCAGAGTCATGGAGCCATGGTGGGAGGGGTGCCTCATGCAGCCAGAAGCTACAGGGATCAAGGCTGGAGTTCAGGAGACCCAGGGCCCCACAATACCACTCATCACTGTGCAAGCTGTGCATGCAGCTCACGACACCAAGGGTGCAGTGCATGGGCACAAGGTGACAGCAACAGCTCCTAGATTTGAGTGTCATGGACCCTGCCAGGGCCTGAGGTCTTGACAGCTAAGAACAGCCAGACATGAGCACCCGTATGGGTGTCCTTCTCTCTCCCAGACTACATGAGTGACCTTGTCCCTGAAGTATCACTTTTCTAGACCTGGGGAATGTGCATGTGGCATATATGTTCGGGGCAATGTGCCATCAGGCAAACCCCTGGGCCAGACAGAGGAGGCCAGGCTGCACAGAGCATATTGCTCAGGTGCAGAGAAAATCAAGAGGGGGACAGAAGCCGAGTCTTTGAGGTTAGCAAGGAGACCAGCCTCTGTGGACCCTGGGCTCCATCCACACACACACACACACACACACTCCCCCCACAGCCAGCAGAGGTCCCTCTGACTGACAGCCTCTGGTCCTATACTTGGGTCTGCCTCTGGGTTTCTGCAGCCAGTCAGTCCCTGAGCAGAACTAGAATCCCCAGGGAGTTTCTGCCCCACTATGTGGTACAGCACACAAAAAATACGTTCATGGTCCCCAAGCTGGGGACCACACATCCTCCCTGACTACACCTTGGCCCAGCATTTTTATGCAAACACTCATGCTTACTTTAATACCTTTTTAGAGTTTGCTGAGGATTGCTATATATATATAGACTGCATTAGAGAGAGGTGGTGGAGTTTATCAGGGTGTATCAATCATAGGACAGGCTCCCCTAGTGTCCCTTCTCAGAAGTCTCTTGGTGGCAGTGAGGGCCAGGCAGCCTGGACCTATGCATTTTCCAACCCCCAGCAGCCCTTTAGCAGATCAATGTTCTTGGCCATCTCTCCCACTTCTGACAGCTTTGGTAGTCAGGTCAAAGCCCAAAGATGGCCATTGGATGGCCAGCCCACTCTGACAAGCAGCCCACTCTGACCAGGAGGCTGGCCCTGAGTCCTCACTGTGCTTTATAACATCCCAAGTGTCCTACCAGCCAACGTGTACCTCTGTCCTGCAGATTGGCTCCCCTAGAACTACCTTTCATGTGCAAAGCAGCCAATCCAAGGCTGTCCCCTCACTGACCTTCTGTATGATGCTCATACACCAAGCCAATGATCTCCTCCCCCTACTCGACTTCAGTTTCCCAGGACTGGGTACCGGGCAACTAGAGCCCACTCTGTACCCCTCAGACCCATTCAAACTAGTCAGTCCTAAGCTATTCATTCTGCCTGCCTTGATTTTCCTGTGGACACCCCAATAAAGGCTCTGGCCTCCGCCTTCTCCTCATTCCTGCTCCTGCCCAGCTAAACCTAGTAATTCTTCCATGTCCTGCATGGCATGATGTGTCCCTTTCTATCAAGAAAAGTCATAAATTCTTCTCTCAGTGGTATTATCCTCCTCATGCCATCACTCAGTCCTACCTCTGCAAACGAAATCCCAGGTATTATTTTAACACAGGGGGGCATCCCATGGTTCTCGGGAACCCCATGACGTACAAGGGGCACAATATGGCAATTATGCAGGGCCCTGGGTAGTTTGCCAGGAGTATTAAACCACCACATGCCAGGTGTCACGTTCAGCATCTTACCTCATTGGTTCACTGGATACTGATGAGGTAGAGCCTGGTATTTTAGCCACTTTACAAAAGAGAAAACTGAGGCTCAGGAAGTTTAAACTTGCCCAATGCCAAACAACTCCTTTGTGCAGAAAAGATACTCAAGAACTGGTTTTCCCAACAAGAAGCCAGGGGACCCTAGGGTGGAGCCAGCCCCTAAAGGCTGACCTCAGAGGTCCCTAACCCAGAAGGGCCAGAGTAGGGAGGGGCTGACTTACCGAAGGCGGGGACTGCACTGCTGAGCCTGCCAGTGAGAAAGAGGTTCACTGTGGGAGACACAAAGGGAGTCAGTAGGGGACGCTGGCTCTCGGGGTCTCAGGAGACAGCCTTGCTGGGGGCAGGGGACAGGACAACATAGCTGAACTCAAGGCTAGTCCCCTTCATTTCACAGGGTGAGGCCCAGAGAGCTACCAGAGTTCTTCCCGTCACTGGTCCTGCAGGTGGGCAGAGATGAGGACCCCAGAGGTTCTCAGGACCCACCGCGGCACACTAATAGCCTAAGCCTGTGCGTGGCTGCATCAGGCCACATCACGTGACTCCTGCCCTGGAGTTCAGGGGTTTCCTGTCAGTCCTGGGGCCATCCATCCCAGAAGGGCCCTGGCTCAGCCCAGGTCAGGTCCTGCCTGTCAAGAGGGCTCCTATTACTCTGAAGGGCTTCCTTGCTCCAAGAGACTTTGCCAGCCACCTAGTCCCAACAGCCAGGAGGGAGAGAAAAAAGTTCTGATTATTCCCACCACCACCAACTTTTTTTTTCTGGTACTGGAGATTGAACCCAGGACCTCTGCACTGAGCTACTCCTCAGCCCTTTTTTGTTTTCTGTTTTGAAACAGGGCCTCACTAAGTCACGAAATTGCCTGGGCTGGGCTAGAAATTGCAGTCATCCTGTCTCGGCTTCCTAGAGCACTGGGATTATAAGTATGTGTCACTACACCCTGGTATGGGGTCTTTTGCTTCCACCTACTGCTCTTCCTGGGGATTCAGGCCCAGAAAGGGAACAGACAGAGCAGGAGGGCAAACGACTTCCTGGGGTTCAGCATACCCCTCTTCCTCTATCAGGGATACCAAAGGAGCATCTTTAGGGGCGTCATTCCCCACCTGGAGAAGAAGGGCCACTGCCCCTCACTCAGCACACCTAGGGTCTGCTGGCAGAACTGGGACGCCCGCATCTCCTGAGCACAGAGGG